CACACACCCCCGCCAAAGGGTGGAGGCCCTTAAGGTCTTCCTAGTAAGTTCACCTCTATCCCCCAGCTAGTAAATGTGTCCCCAGAAAAGACCTCCCCAGCAGTCGCATGTGATAAATGAGCCGCAGACCCACTTGGGTTTTCACTTTATTTTGGCTTCCCTTTGGCCACCTGTGGCCAGACCCAGTTATTTACGACCTCTTCCTGGGACTGGCTCCCAGTTTGCACTCCATCCTGCTTCCTTCAGAGAGAGAGGGGTGTCAGCGAGGTCTCTTATAAATATCCGTGGAGGATTCCCGACACAAAGGGCTTCTTGGCCCCAGGGGAAGGTTCTGGTTTTACCAGCCCCGCCCATCCGGTGTTTGAGGACTCCCGGCATTTTTCAGGGCCCAGGATCTTGGTTTTCACCATGACATTTACAGAGCAGCTAAGCCTGCCCACTGAAAAGCATCCAGGGCTTGGCGGGCAGTAAGGAGGCTCCAGCAGCCTCCAGTAAGATCTCCAGCAGCTGGCAAACACTGTCGGACATTAAATGTCACTGCGGGCTTTGTTTGGTTTTAAATTGAAAAATTGCTAGAGTTATGAGAGCTTACAAGCTTTGCCCGGCGAGAATAATAAATCCCCTCACCATTTCCTTTTCTCTGCTTTTCCCCCACACACTATTTTACTAGGGAACGGCCAGCCTCCCCCACACCTCTGTCTCAACCCTCCCCCCTACCCCATTCACACTGTAATGGGCCCCCAACAGCCACGGAGCCCATGACCAAGAGCATGTTTCCAGAACTCCACTTGCTGGCGAGAAAGAATGTACCACCATTACTAATTCAAAGCAGATCTGACCTAGCTACAGACCCCTACGCACATTTTCCCAGGATCCTCTATCCTCCGTTTTTTCTTCTCTTCTTAAAAGGAACGTTCTGGCTTATTTGTGTACGAACATCCATCACCAGCAGAATCCTAGTCCGGGTCTTAAAACCAGAAGGGCACTCAAGGGCATTGGGTCTAGACTCCGCCTTTAAGCCCACAAGTTCCCATTCCCATTGTCCACGTGACACAGGGGAAGTCCAGAGAGTAGCTTGTGCGAAGTCCTCCAGAGAAAAAGCCCAGAGCTCAGATCCGGGGCTCCTGCCCCTTTGCTTTCCTTTCTCCAGTAACATGCCCCTCGCACCCCCCACCCCCACCCCCTGCACCTGAGATCAGACCCCAGAACCAGAGAACAGCTCTTCATTTCTTCCTTCCTTTCCACTGCCAGCCTGGGATCGAGTTTTCTCATATACGGTTTCATCAATATAGGTAATCCAAATGTATCATCATTCTTGGGTTCGGCCAACTCCCTTCAGCTGGCATGATTCCACCGTGGAGTTAGGACGCCCTGCTCTCCGTGCAAGTATGCACATGAGAGCGCTGGTGTGGGGTGATCGGGGAGGACCCAGCCCTCCGATTCCATTCGCTGGCATTTAGGTCAGAAGTGGGCAGGGTCTTGGATGTTTCATGAAATGACTCTCATCCAACAGGCTTGGAAGCAAACGACTGCCAAGAAGACCAGGGCCCACAATGGTCTCAGAGTAGCTGAGACCTTGATTGTACCCCATTTGTCCCCACTTAGGCTTTTTCTGCTCTTTTGTTCTAATCTTGAGAGGAGGAAAAAACAGGTCAAATGGAAAATTCCCTTTTATTATGTAAAATCAGAGGTGACCCTAACAGGTCTGTCTTCCCTAAACTTTCCTTGGGCCTCTTTGCTTCTGCCCATTGCTAGATCTCCTTGGTTCTAAGTATGAAGTTGTGTCAGGTGGAACGTAGCTCTCCAGTGCTGTAGGCAAGACACTTAACCCTTTCTGATTCCTGGTTTACTCATCTGTGAAACAGCCCTTAGGGCTCTTTAGGAATTAATCGCCAACAGATGCAAAGAACATGGCGGTCTCCGCCAAGTATCATCTCCTTTTCTGCATCTCCTGATGATATTACTGCATTTGTTTTTCACTCAAAGTAAGGAATTTACATTAGAATGAGGGGAGGCAGCCTCTATAATGACAATTTTTTGAAAAGATAAACCTCTAATGGTGGAATCCAAGCCTCCGAAACAAACCCAAGAAGAGGCTAGGCAACGTAGTCACAGCAGGTAAGGTAGCCCAATGATACACGGGTTCAGGAGGTTCAAGGAACAAAGGGTCAGAGGACCTAGTAAGCAAAAGTCACAGGGGAAGCAGATTTAATTTTAATAGCTTCCTCTGTCTTTCTTCCCGTGTGGAAAGGCCCCTATACACAGCAAGTCTGTGGTTAAACTGAGCACACATTTATTGAGCTCCTACTGACCCTAAACTATTGAAAATGCCTTCATTTCCCCTTTGTCCTCCCCCACTGAAGCCTACCCCACCCCTTCGCCCCCTTCATCCCATCCGCTCCCAATGCTTCCACCCACACACCACCACTGAGTCGCAGCGGCCATGGCTGTGTGGTCTGAACTGACGTCCTGAGAAAGGCTCCCCTTGGGGCCTTCACAGGCGCCGAGAATAACCAAGCTAGCGGGGACGACCCCACCCCACCCCCTAAGAGACACTGGCAGAGACAGACACGAGGCTATTTCGCTTACTCGTCACCTTCCCACTGAAGGTATTTCCAGAGCATATCTCCGGTGATGAAAGAGCCAGTCAGGAAGATCCATGACCTTCCTCGCAGCCCTCCCTGAGGTGAACAGATCACCTCCAGGGAGCCACTTCTCCATTCTCGCCTAAACCTTAGCAGCAGACAAGTTCTATGGAGAGGCCAGTCTCCCTCCTAGCTTCCCAGATGTCCTTCCTTTCAGCCACATGCACATTTTTCTCTTTGGAAGGGTGAATGAAGGGGGAAGGAACTGTGGTTTTAGCATGTGGGAAACTCGAGTCCATTAAAGATGGCTCCTGGCTCCTAAAATCTATGCTGATAGATGTCAGAAGCATTGTCACTGCCATGTGGAACAGTTTTTAAAAGCGTGTGGGCACTTTGGCCTTGGACCTCTGCATCAGCACTTGTCACTCTGCTCTGACACCGAACCCAACAGCATTCCTCGGTCCCAGTCCCTTAGCTCCAAGACTGGACATGAGGCATCAGTGTGTACTCCACAGAACGTGAGAGGCTGAGTGGGCTCTTAGCAAGATCGACTCCCATCTCCCTACTAGGGACCTTCTGGCCAGACATGCCCACCTTTGTCAATGGGCAGTGAGTGTCCTGCATCTGGAAAATGCCCTTCACTGCTAAACACACTGGGAAAGGTAGCTAGGCCATGCGTACACAGTCAAGTTCAAATTTCTCTGCATGGCCGTACACGGTATCCATTTTTTGCCCCACTGTTCACCAATCCCTGCCTCCCACTCTGTGCTCCATCAGTGCCACATCACTCCTAGGTCCCCACACTGCTGGCTGCCTCAGTGCCTTTGCACGTGGCCTTGATTGGAAGGTCCTGTTTCCTTCTCTACCTACATCTCCCTACCAGTTATGATTCAGCTCAGCTATCACTGCCTTTGGAAGCTTGACTAGAGCCACGATGAAGAATGTGGTGGCCTCCCCAACCCAGCCAACCTAGAGTCAAATCTCTGTTCACTCTCAAGTCACCTTACCTCCCCACACCTCAGTTTCCTCATCTATACAACAAGAGTGATAATACCAAAACTTCAAGGTTAGAGAGCATAAGAAATAAAGTGCCTGGTGCAGTGGCTGACACACCGTACCCATGCAAATTCAGTTGCCATTTTCATTATTTCCTGATTCGTCCACTCTAGACTAGGATGGGTACCTCTTTCTATCACTAGCCTTTCATTTTATTTTTTAATATTTATTTTTTATATTAAATATAATTTATTGTCAAATTGCTTTCCATACAACACCCAGTGCTCAGCAAAACAGGTGCCCTCCTCCATGCCCATCACCCCCTTTCCCTTCTCCCCCACCCCCCATCAACCCTCAGTTCGTTCTGAGTATTTAAGCGTCTCTTATGGTTTGCCTCCCTCCCTCTTGGTAATTTTTCCCCCTCCCCTCCCCCATGGTCTTCTGTTAAGTTTCTCAGGATCCACATATGAGTGAAAACATATGATATCTTTCTCTGCCTGACTTATCTCACTTAGCATAATACCCTCCAGCTCCATCCACATTGCTGCAAATGGCCAGATTTCATTCTTTCTCACTGCCAACTAGTATTCCATCGTATATATAAACCACATCTTCTTTAGCCGTTCGTCAGTTGATGGACATTTAGGCTCGTTTCAGAATTTGGCTTATCTCTACGAGTAGGGTAATAAAATAACCAAGGTCACAACAACAGAGAGCAAGTAACAATCTCCGAAAGAACACCTCCTGAAGGGCCAGGCCCTGGACAATGTATGACCCTCCTTTAATATGGCAGTGCTCACAGGTGCAGAGCACACATCACTATCCTTTTATATCTGTGTGCTATTTTTTGATCTATTTTATTGAAGTATAATTAACATACAATAAAATGTATCCATTTTAAGTGCATGGTTTGATGCGTTTTGACAAATGTAGACACCTGTGCATACCGGTGCCTACGGAGCATTTCTACCACCCCTCATGATTTCCCTGTGCCCCTTCCCAGTTAGTCTCTTCACCCCCTCCAGGCCCAGGCAACCACTAAGCTCTTTCTATCACTAGAGATTATACTGTCTTTCCTAGGGCTTCATATAAACGGGATCATACAGCATACACTCCCTCGTGTTTCTTCACTCGACATCATGGATTGAGACCCTCCGCGGGCATCAGTAGTGGGTTCCTTACTGTCATGCTTTAAACTTTGTATTATAAATTATGGGATTCCTCCACTGGACTGTGAGGCCCTCGAGGATTCCTTCTTCCTCTTTGGTTCCCAGTCAGGCTCTCCGTAAATGTTAGAGGGAAGAAGGGAGGAAAGGAGAGAGGGAGTTGCCACGGGGATTGGCAAAGACCTTGGCTGAAACCTTGCCTCCGGGAGGCAGTACTCACATCCCCAGCAGAGCCCCATCCACCAGCACTTACAGCAACCAGTCCACAGCCACCAGCAGGCTGATGTCCTCCGTTGGCAGGCCCACAGCTGTCAGGATGAGAAGCATGGTGACGAGGCCCGCGCTGGGGATACTGGCCGCACCGACGCTCGCCAGCGTGGCCGTGAGGCTGAGAGAACAGAGAAGACCAGGTCACAGGAGAAAGAGGACTTGGAAAAACCATCCCTGGCAGGCAACTTGAAGCTCCAATTTTCCCGGCAGTCATAAAGGTTCTTTTCTTTCTCAAGGAATGGAGAAATCTAGAGTACTGAGACCCAGGAATTAGGGTCTATTGGATTCTACTCGACTGTGATGGAAATTTATAAATCCATGGATCGGAGCCTTATCCTCAGCATGATAGCCAACTAGCCTAATATATCACAGGGCTCAACTAAGGTAAGCGGGGCTCTGAAGCAGTCAAGGAAATAATAAAGGAGGAAAACAAATTGCCCTTAATCCTCCCATGGGAACATCACTGCATTCATTTCTGCTTACGCCTTTACCTCTCCGTCAGCCCCAGAGACATCTGGACTCTGAGGCAAGAGTCCGAGGAGGCCACTGCCAATGTTAACATGAGAACTCACAATAGCAAATAGCCAGACCCAACTGAGTGGACATGAGGGAAACAAATCAACAGATTCCAAATGACATTAAGTTTGAGACGCCTGGACATTTCACCATGGACTGGAAAATACATTATTCAAAACGAGGGCGCCAAAAAAAGATAATGAAATAACAGGAGGCTTTCTTTCTGAAGCATCTCACCACTTGCAATGCCAAGGGCACACCAAGCACCATTTTGAAGTTGTCTCTGGAAGAGGGTTTCATCTAGGGCTCGAGCACCCTGTCTAGACACCAGGGGGTCTCTGTGGTCCAGCAAAGGGCAATAACCTGTCTCCCTTTTTTCTGGATGCCATTTACAAAAGTCGTCATTTCTAAATGGAAAGATGCTTCTGAAAATATAGACTCCCAACTTGCTTTTGTGGGTGCTGTAAAGAAAAGGAGGGGCTTTATTTGCAGTTAGATCATTCTAGACTTTCTAGAGTAGGCCAGCTAGCTCCAAACTAAGAGCTGGGCTCCCAGACCGGTTTGACAGAGCCCAGACCATTGTTGTGACCAAGCACAGAATCCTTACAGGTCTTACAGTGGGGAGGGACCTGAATTTACCTAATCTTACCTATGAGGAAAGGCCCTAGGAGGTTTCGTAGTTTACGTTGGTTTTTCCATAGTGCCATCCTTCCAGATTTAGACCTGTCACCATAGAGACACCTCCCCTAGGTGGGGTCTACAGAACCCATCTGTGCTATTCCCCTGCCCCTTCATTGCGGAGCTGGTGTTAAGGCTTCAAGAACTCCGTATTCCTGGGATCCTTCTGGGTCATAGGAGGTAGTAATATTAGTGGTTATCAATGAGGATTATGGGATTAAACAGCCTGGATTCAAACCCCAGCTCTTCCAATGATTAACCGCATGACTTTGAGCAACTTACTCAACCTCTTTGTGCCTTGACTTCCTTATCTGCAGCAAAGGAGATAATAATGGTGTCTCACTCATGGGGTATCAGGAGCTAATAAATAAAAAGCACTTAGAAGAGGCCAGGCACATTGCCACCGCCCAGTAAATGTGAATTATCTTATCAGGAAATCTGGGCAGGGTGAGGTCACTTTGCAATAAAAACTTCTCTAAAGCCCCAAGAGTTACAAGGTGGGAATTCTCAGCCATTTCCCTGACAAGGACAACAACACTAGGAAAGGGGGACTTCCCAAATCCCAACAGTCGTGGTCTCAGCCGTTTTATTTACAACATCAGTTGCTTCTGTTATGAGTCACTCTGACACATCCCTTTGCACTTTGGCCACACGGTCTGCCTGGTCCCTCTGGGTTGTGTGAGACGAAATCCTATAAAGAGAATTCTTCCTGGCAGTTGGTTCCCCCACACGGTCCCTCCATCCCAATTAATACCCTCATCCTACCCATCCTACCATGGGCAGAGTGTCTGGGTGATTCTAAGTCCTGCGACCGCTTCTTGGGGCAGTGATCTCCTCTCCATCTCTCTATCCCTTTCTGCTTTTCCTGTCGTGCCACTCACTAGCCCACTTCTCTGAGGCTGGTTCTTGGATTCTATGCAAGGTATGACACACACATTGTCACAGCAGAACTGCACAGTAACCCTGCAAAGTACATATGGTAGCATCTGCGTTCCATCTGGCCAAACCACAAATTGGATGGATGGAGAAACTTAGGGTCACACAGGTTGACCATGGTCTGCTGGGATTGGAACACTTATCTGCTGGATTGCAATGCCATGCCGGCCCCTGAGACCCCCCCC